GAAGATCTCCAGCCCCTCCTGGAGATCCCTAGCCCTTCCTGAAGATCTCTAGCTCCTCCTGGAGATCCTTAGCCCTTCCTGAAGATCTCCAGCCTCTCCTGGAGCTCCCCTTCCCATCCCAGATCCCTTTCCCACTCTTTTTTGAGTGTGATTAGAGACTGGGAAGGTGTCACATCCCTGAGGACACCCATGAACCCTCCTTGGCTGTGCTCCAGCCCTTCCTGGAGACCCTTAGTCCTTCCTGAAGAACTTTAGCTCCTCCTGGAGATTCCCTTCCCACCCTTTTTCCCCCTAACCCCCTTTCTCTCTCTCTCTCCCCCACCCTTCCCTGCCCAGGTGGAGAAACACTTCCGAGACGTGGAAAGCCAGAAGGTCCTGCAGCGTTCACAAGCACAGCAGCCACAGAAGGACACATCCCTGTCATCCTGAGGCCACCTGGGCCACCCTGTCCCCCCCTTTCCTGGGGGGGGACACTTGCCCCTGGGGCACCTCCAACTGGGATTTCCTTTTTTTTTTTTTCTCTTTTTTTTTTTTTTTTTTTTTTGGGAAGCTCAACCAATTCCAACCTTTAGACTTTTAAACAATGAGAGAGAAGAGAATAATTTAAGCTCAGCATTACTTGACTAACAGACTTTGTTTTCTGCCATGGTTTTTCCTCTTCCTCCTCCTCCAGTTGGTCAGACTCTGTTAATTTTAGGTTTTGGCTATTATTTTTTATTTTCTCATTTCATTTCTGCTTTCCCTTTCCCAAAATTCCCTCCCAAAAACTAAAGCTAAGGAGCTGACCTTGGTGGCCAACCCGAGACCCTCAGGGGGGGTCTCGTTTTAATTTTCTTTGCACAGGGCAAGGCTTGAATTGATCTTATTTTTCTTTGCTCTAAAGATATATATGAGAAAATATTCAAATGATCTTGAAATATTTGCCTGCTTCGAGCAGGATCATGGCAAAAATTGCTTTCCCAGACCTTTCCAGGATCATCCAGAGCCTGAGTTTTAAGGGGTTTCCCATCCCTTTTCTCTTGTGGTTTTAATTTTTTTCTCTTTTTTTTTTGGTTCATTTCACTTTGGTTTTTTTTTTGCCATGGTCCTCCTTTTTCCCCTTTTCTGTTTCCCTGGAAGTTTTTGGTTTTTTGTTTTTTAAGGAAAATCCAGCTCAGAATCCCACCAATTCAAGCCCTGCCTGGAGGAGAGGTAAAAGAGAAACACAACAACAGCGACAACAAACAAACAAACAAAAGAAAATCAAACAAAAAAAAAACCAAAAAAAAAAAATTAAAAAAAAAAAGAAAAAAAGGAAAATTTTTTAGTCTTGTTTAGCAAAAAAATACAATAAAAACCCGAAATTTTTTTAACCATCACAGGAGTCTGTGGGGCATCAGTGGGGGTGGGGCCAGGGGAGAGGGAGGAGCTTAGGAGAGAGGGAGGAGCTTAGGAGAGAGGGAGGAGCTTAGGAGAGAGGGAGGAGCTTAGGAGAGAGGGAGGAGCTTAGGAGAGAGGGAGGAGCTTAGGAGAGAGGGAGGAGCTTAGGAGAGAGGGAGGAGCTTAGGGGAGAGGGCGGGGCTTAGGGGAGAGGGTGGAGCTTAGGGGA